TTTTTTTCATTTTTTGTAATTTTATTTAAAGTATAATATAAATTTAAATGTGGGTAATAAGAGCATTAAAAGGAAGATTAGTTTTTGAATAACTAAAGTTGTTAGAGTAGGTATAATTATGGTTTTACATTTTCTTTTCCTTTTTTGTAGGTTTATTAGTTTTCTTTTCTTTATACAAAATAGCTATTATATTGAGATTTTCCTTTTCAATTAGTTTTCTTTTTCAACTTTTAATTTTGTTTACTTTGCGGCTGCTCTTCAAAACTATTCAAGGCCAGATCTTTTCCTCCTTTTTAGAATTTAGTTTTTTAATATTTTTACATAGGCGGTTAAAGTTTAAAAAAAAAACGTAATTTTAAAATAATTAAAATTATACAGTGTGTTTTGCATAAGGTGGCAAATAATTACAGAGATGATTTTTTGATCGATTTCCAGCAAAAAATTGAATCTGTGGGGTGGGGGTTACAGATATATGGTTTTCGAGCTACAGCCTGTTGAAAAAAAGGTTTCAAAAAACTAGATTTTTCCTATACATAACATAAATAATACTTATAACTTCAGAACAATGCGACATAGAGTAATTATCGTGGACTTGTTTTACAGGTGATTGATTGCTCTTTATTTTCGGTCCTACACCCCTCCCCACACCTGCACAGTTTTTTACTAGAAATCCCTGAAATTATTTGCCACCTTATGCGAAACAGAAACAGAAATAAGCTAAGAAATTAAATACAGTATTTTTTATTTATTTATAATAGCTTATAAAAAAAGTTGCAGTTTTGTGGTTGAAACCGTCTGTTTATTCAAAAATGGAATAAATATATTACGGATCCTTATTAAAACTTTGAACATTATATATAATGAATAGAATTTTAAAATTAGGAAAGTCGAAATACGCTGTTTGATCGTTTGTGTTTCGATCTTCGGAATTCATAAGATTTTTACAAAAGTAATGGCAAAAACAAACGTTTTTTTATTAAAAAATATTTTAAGAAATTTTATTTGTCTTGATTATAAGAAGCTTAATTACTCAATGCGTTAGAATAATTTTTATCTTATTTTTTTATAAGATATTTATTAGAAAATATTTTTAATAAAACATCGCGCTTAAATATTTATATAAACTAGTGTTCACCAAATAAATATGCTAATCTTAAACATTATTCTAAAATTTTAACTTCTTTTATCATAAATAATAATGTTATTCAAAAATTATATTTAAAATAATGAAACCGTAAAATTGGAAATTTTGAGCCCTCGTTTGATGAAAATTTTGACATACTGAAGAATATTGAAAATCATGATTTTTTAGCCTTAGTTAAATTGAGCAAGTGACTTGAGCTTTAGATTTCTTATGTACTTAAAATAAATTGAGCTTTAGATTTCTTATGTACTTAAAGTAACTATATTTATAGGACATAATGAATTAGACATTTCAATCTTTTGATTCGAAAACTGCGACATTCATTACGTTATAACATTTACGTTAAAACTGTTTTGATCTTCTAAATGAATATTAATTCAATATGCGAAATTAATTTGACAGAATTGTGTTTAAATAAACGTAGTGCAAAATGTAAGTAGTTTTTACATAAGTATGCATATGTTTCTAAAAGTTGAAGTCGCTCGGTATGTTAAAATGCATGTTTATGTTGTCATAGATTTGCTCAATTAAGTATAGTCACTATTCTTAACTTTAAACAATTCTAAACTTAGATAAACTTTTTACGTGAAGATTTTATATTGCACAATGTAAAATAACATACGTAAAATCATTGTGTTTGAATTTATTTAAATAGCGTAATAAAAGAACTAAAATCATACAACTATTTAGTTATTTTCATCTTGGAATAAGTTTAGAGATTTTTTTTTTTGAAATTTAAAACATATTTTGTGTATATAAAGAAATAAAATAAAATGAAATTCTAGCAATTTTAATCCTTTCTCCTTATTTTTATTCTTAAAGTACTTTCAAAAGTTTTTTTTTATAAAATTGAGGCCAAGAAAAGATTTAAAAATTTTGCAGGAATAAAACCAACTAACTCTAAGAATATAAACGATCACAAATCGCAGACAAGTAAATAAAAACAAAAAACAGAAATTTTTTTATTCATTTTAGCACAAACTTTTAAAGATGTAATTTGTTTTTTTTTTATTTCTTATTCTTTTTTATAATGAGTTCAATACAACTTAAAAAATTATTACATACGTATATTTGTAATATGCTTTTGCTCAAATTGCATATGTTCGTACATTATAGTAGTTGAATATTGGGTCAACAATATCGTATCTTTGTGCCTTATACAAAATAATAATCTCGATTGTACTTTTAGTTAAGAAAAAATTATTTCGTAAACAATTTTTTTATTTTATTTGACAATGCAACTGTGAAAATACAAAAAGAGCTGATTGAAGTTAAACCAACCCTTCATGATGTCTTCATTTTCATGTTATACTTTTAATTTTAGAAATTGAATACCAAAGTAATTTAAAACGCGTTTTCCTAATATCACGTGTACAGTTGAATACGAAGTTAAATTTTGTTTTGAAAATACGGCAGCAAAATTATCTAAGTTCATCTAAAACAGAAAGAAGTAAAAGATCTCAATCCTCAATCAAATCTCAATTTTATGGAAATAGTCACCAGTGCTCTAAGCTCTATTTCAAAAATAATCCTGAAAATAAGATTTGAAGAAATGTTTAAATAAAGTTGAATCAAACCAATGCTTTGTAAAAAAGCATTTCTACTTTGATTAAATGAAAATATTAGCGAAAGGCGGCGAAAGTTCAAATTTTATGAATTTTAAATTATATTTAAAATTCTTTTAGGATTTTGGAGTTGCGGTATCATATTTAAGTTATTAATGGAAATCCAATGTGTATATACGTATTTGATTTATAAATTATGTTTATATCTATAATAAACAGGTTTTTCTCAGATCTGTAAAGAGTTGAGGAAGTTTTATGACGTTGCTAGCAACATTTTTTTTATAAATACCAAAATTTTTACAAGTAACCAGTTTCACTATTGTAAAAATTTGTAAAGAAAACCGGTTATATTAGTTTTTTTCTTCAAGTTAAGAAAAAAAGAAATGTAAATATACCTTTTGGTTAGGATTTGTTGCACCATAAATGTTGATAAAGTAAGTTGATAGACGCAAACTGCATTCATGATTTAAAGAAAAAAGTATGTAATTTGAAATGAGGCTAATTAATAGCTTACTATGCATTATCATTATAACGTATAAACACAATTTAGTACTTTGGTCTGCTGTAATGTAAAAAAAAGTAAAAAAGAAAGTTGAAGTAGCATTGAGGAAAATTATTAATTCATGTTTGAAGTTTAAAATACAAATAGAATGGATGTATGTATGTATGGTAGGTATATACATATGTATGCAATAACTAATAAATATTTCTCAGAAAATATGTTATAAATGTAATGTACGTATAAATATATGTGTAGGTATGTATGGAAACGTGAAACTCCAAAGGAGATTGCGAATCCATTTGGTTGAGTACAACAATTTTGTAATTAATTCTTAAATGATTTTTTATTTACAGGTACATATCTTATGCGTATGTGCATATATTGCCAAATATAATTTTTAACATGTTTGTTGAAAGAACATACAATCTTCCACATTTTCTTATTTAGAATTTCTTCTTATTTTCTTAGAGCAATCGTTCACTTAACGTTTTAATATTATTGAAGCTTACTAGTTTGCCTGTTTTAAGCTTATTTTAACAAAGATGTACATACATACATACATAGCTAGCCCCTAGCTTGCCTTTTTTTAAAAAGTAAACCAGATAGCAGATATCGTGTAATCATCAGTACACCTGATTTTCTACGTTCCCATTTAATTTAAAACTGCTGAGAATCCGTTTAAATAGTTAATATTGTCGGCAACAAAATTTTTGCTTCTATGATTTTGCCATTTTGCTGGCCTCTCCTCCCCTTATTGAACATTTCCTTTGGTATTTTAACCATACTACAAAATTTGTACACATCTATTTTGTAGTAAATTCATACTCTGGAAATCGATAATGAAAAAAGTGTGGTATCAAAACTCGTTAAGCAAGAAAATTACCAAAATTTTGTTTATTCTTAGGAAAATAAAATTTTGTACCTATTAAAAGCAAATAAATTTTTCTTTGATATAAACCAACAATCTTGTGCCTACATACATACTTACATACAGGTACTTAACGAATTTCTATTTCAATGAGATTTTGTGTCTAAAAAGTCTTCACATTGCCATACGCATTTATTATTTTTATTAATTTAATTAAAGTACTGCATAGTAATTAATTTTTAATGAAAATTAAATATTTTTTTCTTTCAATTCTTTTCTAGTGTTCGAAATAGATTTATAACATTAAAAATATCGTAATTTTAATACAACTTTTTCCATTTTAATTTCTTGTGAGCAACAATGATGATGCAACATTAATGTCAACATTCAACAAATTATTTTATAATGTTTACAGAAAATGCAGAAAGACTCTAAAGCATTGAATTTTTGTATTTATTTACTTAAATATTTCTGTACATAATACATGTTTATGAAAATTTTTATTATGAACTTTTAAAGAAAAAAAACAGGTTTTCTTTCACACACACTTACACATTTTTAAAGTATACAACATTTTTGAACAGAAATAAACATCACAATTCTCAGGAATTTTTCAATAGCATATGTGTGTGTACAAAATAAAAAAACTAAAATAAAAAAATATTTTATAAATATAATATAATATACATTTTATTTTATTATTTTCTTTTTCATATACAGAAACAGAACAGAAATATGTTCGAGTCTCGATTTTTAGAATGCTATCGAAATATTATACAGAGCTAATACAATTTTTATATTTTTATATTATTTGTTTGTTGGTATGTGTTATAGAAACTGACTAAACCAAGCAAAGTAGAAATATCTTTCGTCTCGTTTTTTAAGTTGAAAATCGTTAAGAAAAACCAGTTTCGTGGCTGAAGTCTTTCGATGAGGTTCATGTTAACGTATTAAAATATCGTATCGCGTCATTATATTATTATTTTTTTCCTCGTATACATATATGTAGATGCATATACATATACATATAATCCAAATTTATTTACATATTATTATACATTTGTGTACGAAATAATAAAAAAATGTGAAAGAAATAAAAAATATGTAATTCATAGTAATACAAAAAAAAAAGAAAAACAGGGAAAGCAAATTTTTACCTGGAGGATTTTTACCGCGAAAATAAATATAAAATTCTAATAAAACAAAGCAAAAAAAAAAGAAAAGTATTAGAAAATATATTGTGAATTTTAATTGAAATATTTGAAGATTGCATAAAATAATATTATTGTTAATGGAGTTAAGAAATTAAAAGAAAGTCATAGTGAAAATTGTACAATACATTATTATTTATACATAATTATACAGTTATTACTGCCGGTATTCTCAATATAATTGGATTATCATTACTTTGTTGAGATACCGAAAAGGTCATTTGTGTAAAATTTCAAGAATACCTACCAACCTAAATAAAAAAGAATAATTCCAAAAACAAAGTGTAAGTAATTTGAATTGCAATTCACAATTTATAATTAAATAACATAAAAAATAAATTTAAATATGTACCTATTGCAATTAATTTTAATAAAAGTGTAATTAGGAAAATAGAAAGCAAAGTAAAATACCAAAATAATTAAATCCATTTAAAATCTACACAAAAAATCTGAAATTCTTAAATTATTAAAAAAGTATATTCAAAAAATAAATCCACAAAAAATTAATAAATGCACTGATTATGTTTTATTATTAATAAAAAAGAAAAATTCATAATTGAATACAAAAATATTAATTTAATACTAAAATTAATAAAATAAATAAAATTAGAGAATTTATTTTGTAATAAAACAAAAAGGAGAGAACACAATAAAGTCTCGTCCCTAATTACAATATTTGTTTTGTGTTTTTTTTTTTCTTTTGTTGGTTTTTTACTTTATAAACAGTAAAAAAAACCCTTTTTAAAATAAATAATTAATAATTATTATTTTTGTTGTTGGTGTAAAAATTAAAGGTAGTTCGTATTGCAAAAGCCACAAAAAAAGTGTTTTTATTTATGGAAAAATATGAAAAATATTAAAATAATCATTTAATACAAAAGAAAATTGCAATTGTTAACAAAAAAAAACATATTTTTTTTTATTTTTAATTAATATTTTAAATGTGGTCAAATTAATTAACAAAAAACATACGTATGTTTTATGCAAATATATTATTTAAAAAAATTTTTTACAAAAATTTGAAAAGCTAATTGAAAAAAAAATGTATTAAAAAAATTTATTTATACTTAGAACATACACAAAAAATATTTACGTAAATTAAATATTAAAATAATAAAAAATATTCAATTAATAAAAAACAAATCAAAATAAACAAGAAACAAAAAGGCAAAGAAAAAGAGAGTTAGCAAAGCAAGTAAGCAAAAAAAAATTATAATTTTAGTAATACACAGTGAAAATCTAATATCAAATTTATATACACAAGTACATACTTAGGTATGCAAGTATATATTCACATACATAATATAAGTATGATATGTATGTAAATATATATATATACATATACTTAAATAATAGTTAATGTTATTAAGTAAAAGCTTAATATTATATATTTATTTCAAATATGTATAAATAAATGATAATAAGTATGTGTGTGACGTATAGCTCAACATTTATAATTGTTAAATAAAATTTAATATGATAAAATTCTACAAAATTAATAAATTAATTATTGTGTTTATAAATTGTACTTAATTTACACATTCATATACTTAGGTACATATAAAAAATATTTTAATACTTATATGCTGTTTTCATTTTGTTAATTTGAAGTTATCCGGAAAAAATTAATTAAAAATTCAATAATAATTGTGTAAAATATTAATATTAAACATTAAATACTTACATAATTAATTAAATTATTTGAAAAAATACAAAAACAGAAATATAATTAAATATTATTTTATTTGAAGTATAAGTACTATGTATATATGCAGTACATGTATAAGTACATGTACTGCATTTATATACATATGTGGTTTTATGTCATTTAATATGCATAATATTAATTCATACGCGCTTACCTACATATTTGTGTACTATTAAATTCAATACTAAATTGTAAAAATAAAAAATAATTACAAGTAATAAAAAAAATATAGTAATTTAATTTTAACAAAGAAAAAAATTATAAAATTTATTTTATTTTTTTATGTTTTTACAAATAAATAAATTATATTGAAAAAAAAAACTAAATGAAAACGTGGAATATATATATACTTACATATAAAAAAAATTTATTACAAAGTAAAAATAATTTTTAATTTTTTTGTTGCCCTTAACAAGCTGGTTTTACTATTTTTTTTTATTATTATTTAAATATGCTACAATTAATTTGATAATTATTACACACCTGATTTCACCTGATATTGATTAAAAATAGCAATGATAATAATGATGATGATTATTATTAACTATGTATATGATAAAAATTAATGAGAATTAATGTCAATTAATGCATATTTGCTGTATTTAATGTTTATTTTATAAATTATTTATATTAAAAATTAAAAAAAAAAATTGTAAGAAAGGCAAAAAATATTAAAATTTTAATTGATAATCAATGTAACAAATTTTTAAAAATTTTATAATGAATTTTTGAATTTTATATTTTTATACCAGTGTTTTTTTTTTGTTTTATGTACCTTGTATATATTTTATAATGTATGATTTGATATTCAGTTTTAATTTTTTCTGCTTAATATTTAATTATTATTAAAGCTGATAAAATATTATATTATATTTTTTTTGTTATAAATTAAATTGAATTTAAATTAATAATTAATTAATTGCTTATAAAATTCTTGAATATATGTAATAAATAAATAAATTTTTGTTATTATAAATGCAATTGACTAGTTAAAAAAAAGTTATATATAGGCAATTAATTGTAAAATTCTGGTACAAACAGGTATTTTTTGCAACCTATATAATAAAATGATTACAATTTTAAATTTTTTTACTTTAATATTATGAGCATAGCTAAAAGAGCTATACATGTTCTATCCAACATACTTAACGTTTGAATTTAATTTACAAAAATAAAACTTATAGAAATACATAATTTCTATAGAATTTTCAATAAAAAATCAATTTTTTTTAATGTTTTTCGACTTTACACAGAAATTATAGTTTGCCTTCTTAAAAAAATGTGTTTTACAAAACTGCTTGTAACCAACATATAATTTATGACAACCGCGTTTAATTTTTCGAATATCTACTTAAGCAGCTTTATGTCTTATGAAAAACTTTGATTTATACAAATACATAATTTGTGCGTCGGAAGTTCGATGTTTAAAGCTTGTTTTCTTCAAAGGGTTTTTAGAAAAGAAGCATTATAGACATGCATATTGATATTGTGTTGCCAAACCAATTTGGAGAAATTGTTTTCTAATTAATTAATATTTTCTAAAATAAAACAAATATTTTATAAGTTACTCGTAGTTATAAACCGGTATTAAAATGGAAAAATTTTCAAATATGCATTCTTAAAATTTTCCCGAAATTATGAAATTAATTTTGTTAAAAAATGTTCCTTATCTAGTCTTTCTGATATTTATCTAGTCTTTCTGATGAGGTTACATGACCTGAAGCAGTCATAAGTATAGGAAAGCTTTTGGATATTAAAAAATTTTTTAGCGATTTCCTGGCTTTAATTATTATTTTTACAATGCTTTGAGCGATTGCCTGCGACAATTTGAATTCTAATGAACTGTGTACTAACGAGGAATTCTTTAAGTAAAGAAACGTCTTCAGTTTTGCACAATGAATCTACACAATGTACATATATACTATTACTTATAAATTAGTAATTATAAAAGTATTTCTAATGAAAACAGTTTAAAATAAATTGAAAAGAATTAAAACAATTTTAATTATCAATATGAATGGTAAAACGTCATTATTCCGTTTAAAATTTCAATTAATAATTTTTAATAAATTCTTTAGTACTTCAAGTACAAATAGTTGATGTTAAACTTTAATTTAGTAAGATAAATCTGCCTACATAAGTTTATACTTGTTGTATGAAGGTAACAAATCAGTTTTTTTATTAACTTCCAAATTTGGTTGACATTGAAAAATTGCAATGTAAAATTATTTATGTGTGAATATCAAAATATATTTATATACATAATGGTATATATATACAGCTCTAAGTATACAGCTTTACGTCAAGTAGGTAGTCTTCAAAAAATATCAATTTGTTTTTGAATAACTACTTATAGTTGAATTAACTTGATTCTGTTCTTTGATATCGCGCAATTATTTAAACAAATTGAATTAAAGAACTTTAGGAACCTGTTTGAAAAGTACTTTTTTTTTGTGTTTCTGAATTTTTAAGTATTGACTGATTAATACAAAATGATATAAGCAGTAAGTTATTATGTACGTATAAGTACATTTTAAGTATGCACTTAGTCTTATACTGTTTAGTAAATTTATATACGTACGAGTACACTTAATTTTAATGAACATTCGGACAGTTATAATCGAATTTTGCGAAAAATAGTAAAATTTCAAAGAAAAATAAATATTTAATTTTATTTTTAAATTTTAAAGACCTTATGTCTAAGAAATAAATAAATATGCAAATTTTACAAATTTTAAAATCTTTTAGAATTTAAGCTAAAGAAATTTATTTTTTATTATTTTTCTTGTACATAAAAAGCTGTAAAGTATTAGTTTTCCAACAATTAAATTTCGAGCTTACATACTGGAAATAATTTAATATTTGTTTAAATTGCTCATCTTTTTTAGAATAATTTTGTATTACTGTTAACATTTTTCTGTTAAAAACTGAGAAGAGAAATTCAGTAAAATTAAATTTGTTTAGAAATGTTTTCGATGTGATGGCATTTCATGCTTTAAAATATAATTTGAAATAATGCTTAGAAGCCACAGCATATTTAATAGTTAAGTATGATAATAAAATGCTATATGAAATACAAAAATAAGAAAAATTTCCTAAGTATATTGTGAAAATATTTTATAATTTTGTATTCAGTTAACGTTTTAATTTAATTATTAGGGTAAATTTAGGTTCTTACTGCCAAATATTGTTGAAATTTACGAATATTGTTAAGAGTTTGCAATATTTAAAATGACTTCATTTACTTATGCTTTATTTTTATGATTTCAAATAAGAATTTCGTGCACATGTACCTACAGAAATATATGAAAATATAAAAAAGAACTTATTTACAGTATCCTGGGTTTTGAAATTTTTTATATATAGTTAGAGTCGATAATTGAAACTTTTAATATTTAAACAAATATTATATGTTTCTTCACAAAGCATGATAAAATTTTCTTTTATTGGATATCGTAGATTGTTTAGATTCACTTTGGTTAAAGTCTGGCTTACTTAACAAAGCATACATTTTATTTCGTATTTTATTGCTTTTTTAATTGATTTACTAATATATTTGTAAACTAATTTGTACAACAATTTGATGTTGATATTACACGAGTGCCAAGTAACAGCTAACATTCGTGATACAATAAATAAGAAAACATATTTTCATTGAGAAATTAATCATGCCCCAAATGTAATTTATATAAAAGTCTTACTATAGTGAACTCTTTCTATTTTTCTCCACTCTGATGAATTTTTTGAAATTTTTGGAATGAAATTTATTCCGTGAGCTATAAAATAAATAATGCTCTGTGTACCTCTATTTGCATTTCATTCCAATAATAATAATTAATATATACAAGTATAAAATGACTGTACACCTATATATTTTGAATTTCTTGATGAAAAAAAAAATTATTTTTTAATTTAAAAAATTTCATTTTAATATAAGTATGTATCTTTTTTTTTGGAAATTTTTTTTATTCTTTATTTTTGAATGAATGAATTATTTTGTGTTGTTTTCACACCTTATTGTTTTCACCTTTATTAAAAATCATTATTCATAATTTGATGATATAGGAATATTATGTTGAGAGGTGTTTATATGTGTGTGTGTGTTATTATTAAAAAAATATATATTACTTATGTTGCGGTTTTATACAGTCATATTCCTTTTTTTATGAATACTATTGTACCCTAGATGCTTTTAATATGTAATGGATTCTAAAGTGTTCTCGAATGACTTGAGGAATTTTTTTCATTCATTTAGTCATGTTAGATAAGTTGATATAATACTTATATGTATATTTGTTCATGCATGTGTATGTAAACAACAATAGATAAATTCGTATAACACACACGTAATATAGTGTTATGTGATTAAAATCAATATTGAGTAGGAAAAAAAGACACTAGTTGAGCATATTTTGAGTTGTGATCAGAAATTAATTTTACTGTTTGGGTTTAGAAGTTAGCAGAAAAAGGTTTCTGGCTTGCTACTG